CTTTGAACCCGGCGGGTACTGTGCCGATGGAAACTTTCATCTTTCAGAACTTTTATCTTTCCATTTACACTCAGCTCTTCTAATGGAATCACTGTGGGACTGTCCGACCTGATGCTGTGGTACTAGTCCTGTGACATCATTAATGCGCTACGTTCGTGACCCGGGTAGTAATCCCATGTCATCTGCACTTCTAACCACGGTGAAAGCGGGAGCCAATTGTTAGAAGCAGCACGTCTGCACCGCTAGCTTAGCCGGCAGAAACAGTTCTCCCAGACGTGGGTAGACGATAGGTAGGGTTCACGGCTCGAGGAATCCCGACCCTGGAGTTTTGCCCTGGAGACCTGCCACCCGAATGCTAACCACCGGGACGTGGAGGTGCTGACGCGTCGAACAATTTCACTTATAACCAAATGACTCCACTGTCGTGGTCAACTGAAGACAGGGCGCATGCGTCCAAGTGCGGGGCGCGGGTGTTGGTGCGTGAATGGTTTCGCTGGTACTTTGAGACGGGCTGGCCGTGCCGATACATCGCGAATGTGTTCATGAGCAAGTGGTTTGCTTGAATAGGACCGCGCTGTAAGGTCAGGGTATGGCCTCCAGTTACATGGCTGACGGAGGGTAAGGCCCCCCCCCGAACATGACACAACGCGCATGGCCGTTGCATGGAAAGAAACTTCTTAAAATCCTTGGATGTGCGGGATCTGATGATGCTGTTTGTACATGGTGTGGCGTGGCAGCGAGATTGTGGCCAGGTGCATAATCTTGCCGTCTCGCTGTTTGGCCGTCCCCATAACTCGGTTAGAGCGCCTGCCTTTCAATCCACCCGCCCGTGGCGGAATGGGTTCGAGTCATTTCAGGCGCTCATCATTGGCTCTCGACAGGTATTGCCTGCGGCCGGTGGCAGCGGCCAGTGATAAAGGTCAGCTGACGCCAGAGGGCAAGCCAGACCGTGCTGAGCATTGTGGCGCGTCAAGCTTTCGCCCTTTACCTAGTTTCCTGTAATTCTTACGCCAAAATAGGCGTATGCGATTTGACGTGCAAAACAACGAACCGTTGCCTTGGAATTACGCGATCGAATGGTGGGGGTTAGGGCTCACGCAACAAGCACTGATTAGCGTGAGGTCTGTTCCCAGAAATGCATTCACTTAAAGCCTTCAATTTTTTTTAAATGGCAAGAGAGGGCAAGAGAGCAAGATTGTGCCCGAGGGCTCGTCTCCGTTTGCCGTGGTCCAGCACGACCCGAGAGACCACACCCTGGTGGCCGAGGTCTTTGTCCAGGTCTAATGTTGTCGCGGGCGGCACGTGCTGGTGGGCGGCGCTCTTTGGAAGAGGGTTACGGAACATGGTCCTCAACGTTTTCGGAAAAAACGTGCGATTTCACAGAGTGGCATGGGTTCTTGGCGTGTAACATCAGATGCCTCTCTGCTTGTAGTAGCACAATAAATATGGGTGTTGTTTGTTATTTTAACGTTTAACTCAACACAATGGTTCTTTAGGACTTCGCCAAACATTATTCGCATTATTTTTTCAAACCAGTAAGGGAAGCATGGTTACAGAGCCGGGTCATGCCTATTATGACCGAAAAGGAGAAGAGGAGTCAGTTGAGGGCGTTGGTTTTTGGTTGTCAGAGGGGCGTTGGTTTTTGGTTGTTTGCATTAGAATTCTTGGACTAGAAATGTTTGTTTCAGGGCTATGGGATGAAGGAAAATGGTTAACGGTGGTGCAGACCTACATGCACCTGGGGGGGGGGGGGGGGGGGGGGGGACAACCACCGAGCTTTAACCCGTGCATGCGCGCTGGGTGCCCGGTCGGGGTCCCTTTTCCCACGCGGCTCTCGGCCCGCTCGTGGCTGACGCATGCAGCCTGCCCCGGACAAGCGGGGTGTCGCGAGGATGCGGGATGAAGCAAAATAGAGGATAAGAGGGACGGACGTATGTGGCGTCAGTGGCGCCCTGTATAGTGAGCTAAAGCGAGTGGTGCTGGTCGCACTGAACGCTGCCTACAATACCGTTGGCGCCCCCAACATCTGAGCTTACCTCGCCCGTGCCCGCCGGCTACAGAAGACTGTATCGCACAACACCAGGGCCTTGACGTCGCCTACAGCTGACCTTCCCTCGCCCGTGCCCGCCGGCTACAGGAGACTGTATCGCACAACATCAGGGCCCTGACGTCAACTACATCTAAGCCCAGCGCTCCAACCCTGTCCTGTCATGAGGGCGATTTCCTACGACCCCGGTGACGCCCCCTACTTCCGCGTCGAGAACTACGACTTCAAGGAAAACCAGCTGCGCTGCCCGCTGCAGCGAGGCGCGAGAGTCGACCAGGTGGTCAGGAACCAGCGGCTGGACCCGGCCAGGTACGACGGATCCCTCGGCAGCGACGGGCCGGGTCCAGACTGGTGTCATGGTCATGATGGGCGGTGTAGAGGGCAATACGCAAACGCGTAACTCCGGCCCATCCGTGTCACGCACGAAAGGAGCAGGGGCCGCGAGTGTCGCCCCCAGACGTGTTCGTCGGCTGAAGAGTATAGAGGGCGGCAGTGTTCCTGCGCCAGCCACAGCCTGTGGTCCCGGTATTCTCACCTTCTCACCGCCCGTCTGCTCCGCACAAGTGCACTGCCATCGCAGCAACACAACCCTCGGGAGTTTTTGCATCCTTCCATTGGGAAATTGTCGTTAAGGCTGTGGAACAAATGATCCACGGTATTCTGTAACGCAGAAGTGTTATTTAGATGCCAGCTGAAACGCCTAGCAAGGCGCTGACAATGCATGAGGGCATGCTGCAAGAGTATAATTTAAGATCGTTGTTACGGATTTTATTATCAAAATTTGATGCGACTTGTGCCACAGGCGTTGGTTGGTACTTGTAATGGGTTGATAGAAGGATATGTTCCAACGAAATTACCGGCCACAAAGCAGTTGCTGGATTAATACAGAAAGTAAAATGACAGAAATACCACACCACATTTAAAATATCACGGGTAAACGGCAACGTAAAACCTGAAAACCTGCGGAATCTGCTCACCAGTCTCCAAGTTGACCCCTCAGCCCGCCGACACGAAACAGGTCGCTCCATCCCACTGGGTCGCTGTTTGACCAGCTGACTGGCCAGTGAGCTTACGCGTCCCTCTGAGGTGCGGCACAACGGCCCGCGACTCGTCCCAGGTATCCCCGGCGGCGGACGGTTCAAGTGCTGAGTAGCTGAGACCGTACATGCCACATTATAGCGATGGCCAAGTTCCGGCTGGATGACCGTCGGTGTTTGTTAGGATCCTGCTGTAGGTGGGTTTATGCGCCAGAATTATTACGTTTGTTGTTATTTCCTGTGCATGACTTCACTGGCGCTGCCCTCCGGAGGCAGGACGAACAGGTCGGCTGCTCACTATGGGGCTGGCAACGCGAAGCTGACCCCTGGAGAACACTGGTTTAGTCAGGTTGAGAACCTTCAGGGACCGGCATCGACTCTCATCCAAAGTCACGGTGCAGCGATGCTTAACATGAAGATGTATCCGATTTATCTTGAGATTGGTACATCGGATGGGATGAGCGACATTTATGGTATGAAGACCTTTGCTCGCACAGCCTCACCTGTCATTACCGTCGTCATCGTGGCGCTTTCGGGTCCAGGTTTCGTAGCAATGTGATGGGCACGCCTCCCTTGAACACAAGCTGTGTGATGACGGTACTGATGGCCCCAGGCTGCTGAGAAGCTCCAGTTGATGATTCACAGCGCCCCTCGTGGTGCGGGTTATTGCCCACCGACTCGCACTTGCTTGTCTTTCCATGCTGTTTCTCCAGAAGCTTCAAATACATAACATAAGTAACGAAGTGTTTCGGCGCGATTATGACCTACTCGCTGCACCAGGTCGGGTCATGGTACGGTGCCTCCAGGCCGGGAACACCTCAGCCAAGTCGCGGCAGGGACTCTGGATTAGGCTGTCTTGACTCTTGATCTGACGGTTGCCAACCTGTGGAAACTGATAAGCGAACTGCCCCGCTGTTTGGCCGCCGTTTAAGTGTGTACACGCTGATGTTGGGATGTATGCCGACGCTCTGCTTGTCACTTGCTACTCGTCACGCAATAGGTATGCACCGCCGCGGGTATTCAGCTGCGTGGAAAGCTGCTTTCGGAATCATTACTGAATTGTGTTGTAATGTTATACTGGTCGTTGTAGTTTGGTCTTCACTCAACCCGTCCCCTCGCAGCTGGCGGAAAGGCAATCAACTTTGCAAGATTAGCGCGTGGTAGCCGGCATTTTTCGCTGCTCTGATAAGCTGAACATGGCGCGGGCCGACCGTCGCCCTATGAGTCAGGTTTGCTCGCGCCACGCCACGCGCCGTGGTCGATCAGGCAGGCAGTGTCCAGATCTTGTCCGCAGCTTACGATTTTTAAATGCATATTTTTAGTCCTCGACATCGGGGACGCAAATTGAAAGGCGGGATAAATTGGGTCTGAGGTGGGTTAGATTGACTCCCTTGGCCGAGCTACCTCCCTTCAACCAATTTTTTAAAGTAACAACGCTGCCTTTCAGGACAACGTAGCTATAACGGTAGCCTCCCTCAAGCGCGGTACGTTGCAGTCGCCCCGGCACGCCCTGCTCGTGTTGAAACGAGCAACCGTGGCACTGGTCAGCTATCATTTCCCTGCTCCTCCATCCAAACAGTAGTCATGCCCCGGACTTTGTGACTGGACGGCCTGGTCAGTAATCTGCACCGTTCTCCACGCCACAACGGCGGACATTTTCCTGCAGCCTTCACGATGAATACTTATTTGGCAGCGATCAAAAGCGCAACCACAGGGATATGGCAGCGCTCGGTCCACCCCTATCGCCGATGCCTCCCAGGGCTTCCCTTCTGCGACACCAGCGAACCTAGTGGTGGGGTTTCCCACGGCGCATCGACCACTCTACGGAGTCACATGGTCGGAAATCCTGGCCAACGGAGCGGAAGAATCGCCTCTCTTGCCCTCGCGCAGTCGTCAGCCGACGATTTCCGTCCGGTGCGTCTGCTGTCGGCGGTGCGGGGCCGACGCCGGCTAATATTACCCGCTCCTTCGTGACCGGGGAAGTGACGGGGGTGGACGCATCGCGCGCAGACAGCCGCACCCTCACCGCCTGCTTCAGGTACCGTCTGCAGGATGTCTGGCAGCCGCTGTGGGGAGCTTTGTGAGGGTGCGCCATGTGGGTCCAGAGCGCCAGTGTTGCACCATTGCTTGCGAAATGTGCAGGGGCGCAGTCAGAGAGTGGGGCAGAGAGGGCTTGCCCCCCTCAAGCCCGAAACCATTTTTTCTCTTTTTCACCGTAGATGGCTCCCGACGGAAAATTAACAGTCGGCGCGATGCGTACTCGCCGAGCTCCCCCCCCCGTGGGAAAATCCTTGCTGCGCCCCAGGGTATGATATAGGGAAGTATGATAAATTAAGATTGGGAGGGAAGCCTCATTTGAAGTCAAACTGAAAAAACTGATTCGTCACTTGACTTGACTTGACACTTGCACACGTCATGTTTCCGTCCGACAAGACTGAAGTTCGTGTCTCCGTGTTTTCCCCGGGTGCCGCTGACTGCCGTTGATTTCCTTCTCTCTATTACCAATTATGTTCGGGGATCTGCCCGGTCCTCTGTTACCGGCTGAAAATACACCGCAACAGGGGCGGATGTAGGATCTCGTCAAGCGGGGGGAGGGGAGGGGCGGGGGCACGTGCCATTTTGGTGCTCTTGGAACTTGGTCCCCATCCAAAAAAAGACCTCGAAGTTTAAGCACTTTATTTTAGTGTTATTCTTATTTCGAGACACTACTTTCTGCGCGCCGAAGAAGACTAGAAGAAGAACGGGTTACATGCATGAAACCCGGTCTGCAAAAGGTGGCAGCGATATAGAAGGCAGGTCCAGTCCGGCCCCAAATAGGATGGCCCATTTCTCTGCTTGGGGCGGAGGCCCATGGTCAGAGGACGGGAGTGGGTGGGGGCTTCGGCTAAATGGGCATCTGTCCACCATTATTTACCCCCGCTGCTATGTTCAAGAAGGATGAGAATCGCACCGAATTTATAATTCCACATTTTGCATTGCATCTAACTTCACCAAACTCACAGTATGCAAAAATGTATCGAACATTTCGCAATGCGAACGACAGTAGCAAACGGCTTCAGTCGCCACGCTGATAACTGGCCCATCTGGCGTGCGGTTGCTGGCAGCTGGTTCACCTGCTCAGCGCAAGGTGTTGAAGCTTGTGCTAGAAATAACCTATGCGCTCGCGCGATATTTTTTGTCTGACCGCTTCAATTTCATTGACGGATCTCTGTCTGTAAAGGCTGTGCGAGCAGCTGTGTGCAGAGCAGGAGAGGATAATTTGGTAGCATTGAAGACAACTACGACGCAGTTGAGACGACTGTGCCGCATTGGTCTACCGGCTGTCCTCATGTTTATGAACTCTCACTCTTCGTTTTTTTATGCACTTCGGTGCCTGTTTGGTTCCACGCGATATCTGCCTTAGTACGAGACCCGCGCCCTTAGATACAACGGGCTGCCCAAAAATAACATGAGCTGCCCCATTAAGGAATCCTCGACCAAAAGTGTCCAAAACCTGGCCTAGTATCAATTTTTGCCTCAACCCTGCCCCAGGGATATCTCGTCGAAATTTGCCGTATTTTGCAGAACGGCATGGAGCACGTCCACTTTTCGTGAATCCTGTCATTCTTAAGGTCATGGTTTTCGGCCGTTACATGTCAAAAAGAGGTTAAGTTCCCTGCTAAATACCGTCAAAGTACATGCGGTAACACAAACAAAATAGCTGGGACCTGGGATTTAGTGTCACTTGAAGACGCGGGAAATTGGGCCCGAGACGTGTCTTTTTTGGTGCCCCTTTCGTCGAGAAGGCCGATCCTGGATTTCGCTCAGTGGAGGCACGATCACCCTGGTTCCGTCGGAACTTTGTGCTTTTCGAAACGGGAGGTCTTGGAGCAGTGTCGGGTCCGTGGGGGTGCCACCCGAATTTGGTACCCCTTGCAAATAAAAGTTATGGGGCCTGGCATGCATGTTTGGTGCTCCTTCACCGCGACACGTTTGTGTCACTTCAGAGTTCCAAAGTCTTGTGGGGATGTTCATGATGAAGCCGCCCCCCCCCCCCTTTCCCTCCACATCCTATCTTGCACCGCACGTGCGCATCTGACTTCGAGGAGAACGCGAAGGGACGAGGAAAGGCCGTGAAAAGCGAGAGGAAACCGTGAAGAAATTAGAGGAAACCGCCAAAAAGTGAGAAGCAACCGTGATGAAGTAGGAAACGCCCTGCGCTGGTCTGGATCCCGAGTGACGTCATACTCCCTGATTACATGTTATAACATGTAATCATGTTGTAACATGTTAACATATTAACATATTATAGGAATGACATGTAATATAGGGATAACTTGTTAAAGGAAAGGAAAGGAGAGTTTGGATACCGAGTGATAACCCAGATGGAGCCCATTACAAAGTAGCAAGCCACTGAATGGTCGATAGGCAACTTGGATGTCCTCATGTCTCGCGAGTCCATGAACTTAGAGTGGGAGTGTGAGCTGGAGTATTAATCGTCTCCGCTTCAGCCTTGTGGGCAGACAGAGACGCAGCCAGGTTTTGCAACGGTAGGGGCGATTGACGACGGAGGAGCAATTTTTTTAGGAGTGGCTTCCAGCCCCATTGGCAGTGCCTACGCACTGCGAAAAGACTAACAGACCCCCCACAAACGCCAATCGATACAGTACCCAGCATATCAATGAGTCATCGATGTTGGTTTGCCCGTGCGCCGCTAACAGTTGTTTCAGGTGCGTATGGTACGTATTCACTTCGCTATCCGCTAGTCTTGTGACCAGATTATGATCGTTTGAGTCGACATGTTGATGCCCTTGGCAGCGTCCATGCTATTTATAACCATTATAGTTTTCCCGATCCCCAGCTTTCGGAATTATATTCAGCAGTGTCGTGTTGAAAAATTGTTCTCGAACCTGACGGGGCGGGACTAAACTCACATGTGCCCCGTGGCTGCGCTACTTCGTAAGGCGCACGCTCTCGACCAAGCAGCGATGAAGCGTCCCCATCTCGAACATGTGTGACTGGGCACTGACTTGTCAGTTATGTCTTAGTGCACTGCACAAACTATCCACCGAGAGACGGCAAATTTCAGGCCGTGCCAGGCCTCTGACCTCACTCATGGTGAATAATCCCGGAATAGCGTTTCATTATGTAGCATTATTCTGTCAACTGCTGGTCTTGATGTGATGTGCTCGCCCCATTAGCGTCATCACGCCGAGTAAGTAAATGGTGTGCGGAAAGCCAAATAACCTCAGTAGACAATGTCTTCTGGTACCCCCAAAATAACGAAACATGCAGTTCAAAAGTAAATGGAACGGAAAAAGCGTGGGGCGTCTGCAGTAAACATATAAGAACCGTAATATCTTACCGTGTGTCGTAGCACGTTTTTAGCGCGAACACTAGTGTCCGGTTAATGGTTTTCGGCCCATTGCGTTGGGATCCTGTGTTGAATCAGTCTGTCAAAGATGATTTGGTCAATGGCTTCGGTACGGGGAACAATTGCAATGAGTTGAGAGGTTGTTACGTTTTGCCAGGCATTTTTCCCCACACATTCTCCAAAAACGAAGGCGCCCCGGTCTATGAAGCAATCTGACGTAGGTCAACGACCTCGCAAATCAACGGCCAAATGCAGTGAATGCAACGCAAACAGAAAATAGGTCAAATAGGCTTTTTCCCTAGGGGTGCGACCAGGACATTCTCAAGCCAGGGGTCCGGAGGTAGGTGAGTACGCATCACGTGGATTTTTATCTCGGTTGGCAGCTACCTGGTAAAAACTCAGATAATCTGGAACATACGGCCTGTACGTCTCCGTGCGGCTAAAGTACATGTGGAAAAAAATTATACCACGCTGTAGGCAAGAGTGCTGTTTCAGGGTCTTGTTCGTTTTCAAAATGACCTCGGACGGCAATTTCAAATTGCCTGCCTCGATCACATCCTGGCTTGGATGGAGAATGCAGGGAAAATCTCTGTCCGGAAAAGTTATTTTGTGGACCCCATAAGGTGTTGTGTAATTTTGAAAAATGTCAATAGGTAGAAATTGTGTCGATACGTTTTAACACAACATTGTAAGCAATCGAGGATAATGGTAAGGCTCATATTAAAGCAGGGTCTTTTTAAGTAATTTTGGGCGGAAATAAAACGCCAGCAATATGACCAACCCCGAATGTGGGTTCACTTAACGTACTCGCAAACTGCGTTTTTTCTGGGAATCAAAGCCTCTTTATTCTTGCGTTCGGATGGAAAAAGACAAAGATTATTGAATTGACTGCGTTACTTAAGGGAGCTAAACGGACTAAAACAGGTCTCAAACAGCTCTGGGCGTGATAAGGCAAGTAATAGCTTTATTCTTCGGAGAAAAACCAGGAGAATGGAGATATAGTTGGGTTGATATTTCGGCAACATGCCTTTATTGAAAACAATAGCAGAAGTCAGAAGTTTCACTTCTGCTGTTATCTCGATAAAGGCATGTTGTCGAAATGTCAACCCAACTGTATCTCCATTCTCCTGGTTTTTCTCCGAGGAATAAGGCCATTTCTGCTGTCCTATCTATGTCAATGACGTTCCTCGCTAATGCACTGAACACCGTATGCACCTCTGAGTGTGACATATCCTGGTCAGGGGGGGGGGGGGGGAATTTGACTGTGCGGATGCAAATCAGCAAATGACAGGACTAGAACGAGGCTAGAAGAGCTAGGATTGGAGGAGAGGATATGTGGTCAGTGTGGACCCTGCCCGACCGCGCAGCAACCCTCCCCCCACCCACTTAACCTGCTAAAAAGGCCGTATTTTAACACCCAACTGACCCCTTGTTACGTACTTTTGAAGATCTTAACACTAGAACCAACTTTTTCGGAAAAAGTGTGCCTTCTGTTCATTTGGCGCCTAAGCTGCTGCGTCTTATTCTAGATCCTTTTTCGGTATATTTAATCCGAAAGCGCATCATATTTTGGTTCTAATTGCCTGGTTAAACATGCTACTTGTGATGTGCCCTTTCGTGTTTTTCGGCGGTGCCATTTTTGTTCAAACATGCTAGTTGAAGGTATTAATTACATTATAATTACA